TTACAGGTACTAACTCTCATTCCCGCTGCTTCACACTTCCAGTGCGTGCTGGAGGTCACGGTCTCATGAAGCCAGACCAGACCAATAAAAAGTGATTATCAAATATCAAATCTGGAGTTTGTCATGACAAACCATGAAAAAAAAAAAGTTCATTAAAACAGTTTTTATATTTCTCACAAAGGACAAGAACATAACTGTCAAAATTCCATATAGATTTTGAGTTTATGATGTGTGTTGTCGCATTTTGTTTTATGAAATATTGTGCTATAACATGCAGTTGCACCCCTGTAATGGTCTTTCTGAATTAAGGGTGCCAGCAGCGTTGGCAGGCCTGGGGAGAGTTTTTTATCTTGGGGACAGTATAATATCTCTTTACCAACACACAAGTTAATTTTGTGTAGTCTCTTCCATCTCTTTTCTAAAGTGTGAATCTGCAGTTCTGGTCCAACCTCTCACCTCACATTACAGCTGGCAACTGGCTACATGACTTAGTTGTGCTAAATATTGCCCCTCCCTGAAGAAAAAAGAAGACGGAGCAGCCCGGAGCAGAAATGACGTGATTCTAGTTTGATTCGATTTTTGTAATGTTTGGGTTGTGTTTGTGTGGTTGTCTGTGTGCTGACGTTGGTGGCTCCACTCCCATCTTCCTGTATGAGGAGAAAAAGAGAGTGCACATAATTATATTTGTCTGTGTGTGAGAGAAAGCTGGTCCAGGGCGACCAGTAAAGCAACAGATTTACGATGCTGCCCTGTAGGCGCATGCTCGCCCACTTCCTTTGTTTGGCAACAGCTTCTGTTATCAGGACCCATTTCCCATTACAGCATAAATATTGCAAAGCTTTAAATTTAATGGTGTTTTGTGTATGTTGGGTCATTTTTATATCTCTGCAAGTGGCTCAGATATTACCCAGTCTTGAAGTTCAAATACTGGCATCAAATAAATTTTCTAACCATTGGATGAAAACATTAAACTCTTTATTTCATTGATTCTCTCCTCACATTTCCTCTGCCTGCCCTGCAGTCAGAACCCCTTTGCTGTTTGTTTGCTTGATATCTTTTCAGAATGAATTAATGCACCACCATTCAAATTAAAGCATTATTAGAGAAAACCTTTATGAGCAGGAGGTGTATTAGAAATTCAGATTTATGCACACAAAGGGGAAAATATTGTCAGGGCAAAGGAAGTAGAAGCCATCCATCATAAAAAAAATCTGTAAACTACAGCTTTAAGGTGCATTAACTCGGATTCCCCCAGGTCTGATAACCCCAGTGACAGTGGGACGTGGTGTCTCCCAGCTACACCCCCCCCTCCATGACCCTCTGCTGCCTACAGCCTCCTGTTGTTATTCCAGCTTCTCCACCCTGTGTTGTAAAAGTACCGC